ACCATCAATGAGTACTCAGATATTTGTATAGAATACCGCCCGCTCACGCATTGAAAAAAAAATAACTAACTAACTATCGCACTGTTTTACTATGTAATAGCTAAAACTACTATTCACCCCAGTAACGGTGGCTACCAATGGATATTTACCTCGCCTCTTCACGGCCCGGTAAATATCCACTTCTAACCACTCCCACTTAGGTGCAGGTGAATAGTTGTTTATCGTAACAAAGCTAATGAAAGTTGAAATGATCGAAAAATTGTGCTAAACTCTACAAGGATAGTGATTTTCACCAGCTTAACAAGATGACAATGAAAAAAAAAAAAAAAAAAGGAAATGCTTTTCACTTGATTTTTTCTAACCATTTTGCAAATTGGTTCAGTTTAATTAGATTGTTGGGATGGGAATTCCCTTACATTATTTCCAGTTTCTCCATATTGCGGAAAGTGTTTTGAGGAATGTGTCGCAGTGAATTCTTTGATAAGTCCCTGGAAAAAGAAATTTATAGATTAAAAGGAAAAAATGATTCTTGACAGATCGAGCATAAAATTTTCCAAATGACAAATGTTCTCCTTACATAAGATTACTTGCCCTTTTCTGTTTTACTTAACATTAGAAAGACGATGTTAGTATCCTAATGATCACGGTAAACGGTCGAGATCTACCAGCTCATAGATAGTAAGTCTGCTGTTGAACCATCCATGAGTACTCAGATATAACTTTTAATCAGATAGTTAGCTTTTTAATTTGTTCGCGTTCGTAGGTGGCCCGGACAAATCTCAAGATAATTTTCAAACTTTTTCACAACCTTGATAAATTTTTCTTCTGAATAAGAGAAATCTTTTCGATCCAAGAGAGTTTCTCATTAACGGAAACTATATTCTTTTACATTTCTTAAGAACTCACAGGGATTTTTCTAATTCAGTTTCATTTACAACTTACAATTTCTTTAAAACAGTCAGGTTCCTGAAGATGTCTTCTGTAATTGAGCTCAACGAACAACTTGAAAGATCCCTGGGTAAAAATTAAACTGTAAGTAAAATTGGTAATGAACATAAATTTGAATTCTAGAGGAGGTAAGGTCCGAAAGGATTAAATAAGCAACTATCTAAATTAAAAGTATTTTAGTTTAAATTGATACCTAGCGTTCAAATTTTGAGTTTTCACAGCCTTATGACTTTTCTTATGATTAATTTTAAATCGTGTGTTTGTTTTTCCTTTTTTTGCTTGTTTGTTCGGAACTCATATTTGCTTTTGGTTTTTTTCGTATAGCTCTGACCAAGACTCCTTAGCAAGTCTAAGATGTGTCTACAAACTATAGTAACAAATATGAACACAAAGGAGACGATAATAGGCCCTGTAGGATGAAGGATGGCGAAGTTTTCTTTCACTTACAGCTCTACTGTATTGCTTGGGATTCCGGCTGATAAGTATCCACGAACTCGACATTTTACTCTTAGCCGAGTCCTACCGAACTTGGTACACTGACAGATGTTTTGGCTGCAAACGTCACTCTCAGATGGTGTTGCAAACCACAAGATCAAGATGACTTGTATCACACTAGTGAACATCGTTACCGTGGCCAGAGCGGTTTGCTAGAGAAGCAAATTATAATATTCTGATTTCAAGAGACCTAATAAATAAAGACTTATTCAAAACCGTTATCCGTTGTTCAAAAGCGATATGGCTTACGTTGCGGGGCATGTTTCTCCTGTAAATTATTAACATTCGGATATATAATCACTGTTTTCAGTAGGAATAAATCAGTTTCATCCAAATATTTCTCTGACAGGAAGCTGTGAGGTCACAATTTTTTTAAATAAAAAAATTGCAAATTGTTCTCTCTGAAATAAGAAGAAAAAAAGATTTTTCTACGCTGTTGAAAAGCTTATCCATCAAATAAACTCACCTAAATATCTCTCACAACCAAGTATCGGACTCTTCGAAGAATGTTTTTAATGGTTGCATAACTTCCTTCCTCTTATAGTCCTCTTGTAATTCCCGAAATTTCTATCTTTAATAAAAAGGATCGAAAGCGGATTCGATGAGCACACGCAATTGCGTTTGCAGCTCCTACGATGTTATACAATGTCAAAGAATGTGAGGATTAGTATTGGCTCGAAGACATGGTTGATTATAACCATCTTGATTTTCGACGTTGACTGTAAAATTTTTGGCCCTTTGACAACTAACGCTTCAGTTCGTGCTTGTCAGATATCAGTTTCACATTTTCCCTATCTGTCTGCAACGCAACGTTAACTGCTGACAAAGGCACCAACATAACCGGGAACAAGAAGTTTCGAAACTCTGAGGCATTAAAATTAATTATGAGTACGCCTCAATGCATATTACTTAAAAGCAGTCACTGGTTTCAATCTGCTAAGTACAAAAGGTCGTAAACGCAAAGAACCTCAAACTATAAAATTAGATAAAGAAATAATGAGACAATACCGATATGGCCATATTAAACTGGTTATAACCTCTGCCTTTAGAGTAATTATTCAATTGATTTCTTGCAGGGCAACAGTTTACGAAACGGAAGACCACAAAAAGTTTCGAAACTCTGAAGCATTAATATTAATTATGAGCACGCTTTAATGCAAATTACTTAAAAGCAGTTACTGGTTTCAGTCTGCTAATTACAAAAGTCCATAAACGCTAATGCACCTTAATGTATTAAATGAGATAAAGAAATAAAAAGACAGTACAGATATGACCATATTAAACTGGTTATGCCTTCTCCCTTAATTCATTATTTAATTCATTTCATGGACGGGAACAGGTTACGAAATGGAAGACCGTCAAGTTATGAAAGTGCTGTCTTTTCGCCTAAATCATTTCGTACCTAAAAAGATTCCAGAGATTCCAAAGATTTCTTTGATCAATGTTTGGGAACGGTATCAAGTACCTTCAAATTCGATTTTTCGCAACACCACGCATGTTATGAAAGATAAACGAGTTGAAACATATGCTCTAGTTCTTTGACACTACATTAGCACTGCTCACAGTACTGGTTGGTGATAGATTACTTCCTGTTTATGACTGGTCATTGCTTTTGCTTCGGTTAGGTTTTCGTCACAATAGTCCAAAATAGTTTGGTTTCGAGCCCTTGACAATTGGTTATGAACCTGCGACACATTATCTTGATTACGATAGGTGATAAGGAAGATTCGAAGCAAAGTCAGCAAATGCAAGCAGGAGTTTTAACGGAACGTTTCAACCTCTAGAGGAGTATTACGTTGCAAAAACAGTTAGGACAAGTTGCACGCAGATTTCAAGGTCTTTCCCTCTCGGTAAGCTACAAATTTTGTCTGTATAATGTAATGATAACGATATTTGCCAAATTTTGGTAATACATATATACATACACACAGCTTTTTTACCCATAAGAATCTTTTTTTTTTTTTTATAAGAACAATCATTATCAGGCTGAGATTAGCCAGAATTTTAAGAAAATGCTCAGAACATACGCAGGCTGAGAATCAGTAAAGAACTTCTTTTTTCGCTCATTTTGCTTTTTGTAAAGCCAAATTCAGCAAGAGTTTCAAATAGTTGGTTTGTGAGACATCTTGTTTACGGCATCAAAGCAAGCCGCACAACTAGGTGACAAGCGACTTGATACCACATGACTGCAAACAATGCATTTTGAGAACATGTTAAGGACGTTTTCAGGCTCAACTCACAACAAAGATACAAGGCACGCCTTGCTCTCCCCTCATTACTAAGAGTTCTTTAAGTTGTCGCATTTTCGCGTTATTAAAATTCACACTTGAAATTGATGAAGGGGTACATATTTTACCAGCTCAGACAAAGATCGTAAATCACTCTAGAAAGTACCTGATATATCATGAATGGACAAAATATTCGATTGAATAGAAAGCTTATTTCACCACTATTGTAGAGATCCATCCCTCACTTGTTACCTTAAGTTGCTGCAGCTTCAAAAACCGAAAGATCTAGTCGTAAAGAGTATTTAATATAAGTTCCCTACAAAAATTTTGACAAGAGCCACAAATACACCAGCGAAACGAAATGCAAATTTGCCTCTCGACTGAATGGATACCATAAAAGGGATAGATCACAACAAGCGCGATAATCTGCACTAGCTGAAAGCTCTTTCTTATTTGCAATTGGAAACTTCACAATATTTTCGCACAAGTGTCAACTGGTGTAACTGGCGCTTTTAGAATCTTGGGATCATAATTTTAAGAATCTGCTCAATCGTAACGATGGTATAAATATTTAGAGAAATAATTTATCAGCTCAAATTGTTTTATTTTCTTAATGGATACGTTACGCTCTCTCTCATTAAGGCAATTGACCGCGCCATCTTTCAGCGTACCCGCGTGATAACCCTCGAGAGATGTTGGGAAAATAAGAGAAAACGGTAAACAGATAGAAATTCGTCGATTTCTTTCATCAAACATTAAAATGAGCATGTTTCTTTGTTTCTATGGGTTCATCGGTGCAATAAACACGAAAGGTTTTTGACCAATCAGGGATGGCTCTCGTAGTGCCTCATTTGTTCTATAAATTTTCATAATTTCGAATTCCCCCCGAGAAGGACTGAGGTTTTGGCTGAAAATGAGGATCTTAAACCTACTCTTCCCTATATTCGGCACCTCTAAGAGTTCTCGTAGTTGGTAAAAACTATTTATATGGTAAGGTATTATCTATGGTGCGCTGAAGGCTTCTCAGCAAGAGATCTGTTCAGCCTTATTCATCAATTCTTTTCCAGGCAATATCGAATTCGTTAGACCCACCGTCGGTTTTTTCTTTCTTTTTTTATTTTATTATTATTATTTTTAATTCTTTAATTTTGGTACAAACCATAAAGAAAACTTACTTTTCAAGTATTTCAGCTAAAAGCTCACCTTTACAGACTTTGGTAAAGTATCTCAAAGAGACTATCAAACCCTCATTATAAAAGGCCGCATTAAATTCACAATGAACTCCTTTAATTTACAGAGTTTTTCTGCACAGCTGTCGGTTGGGAGACGATGATGATTTTGACGCGACAACCGGGACAAACTATCTCTCTGAGCATGTTACTTTTTGTTATCAGTGGAACATGGGGATATCGCTCTGGAATTGAAATGATTAATGTGACATTCTGTGGTATGTTACTCTTTTTAAATTTGGCCGAAAAACTGTTTAGGAAAAATTACAGAATTATACTAGAAATGGCATGAAAAATGAAAATTGATAATTCCTCTAAGAAAAAAAGAATTGCCGATTTTCTTTTTAGCAGTTGACTAACTACTTCTTCAACTATCTGATATCCGGGTTCCATTACGCCATTTCCATTATTTTTAAATTTACCTCTCCACTGCCCACCGGCTGTTTTACTCAAAACCAGCCGAGAATAAGACTACTCATTTGTCGCAAAAAAAACAAAGTTACAATTTAATTTTCCATGCATTGCTTTGTATCTAAGATTTTGGTGGGGCCTGGACTAAAGTAAGTTAGAAGTGTAGGGACTAATGAATGGCATCAACCATTTACTAGTGAAAGACTCAATTGGAAACTAATTTTGTTTTTTTGTAGTCCAAGGTGATGTTCCATTGTTGCATTCTTTTCAGGAAAGTACGATAAGCCTCCAACGTTAAAAGTTTCTCCATGGCCTTTCATTCCTGCTGGAACCCATTTTAATTTTAATGTAACACTTACACCTGGTAAGTTGAAGTTGTGATGGAGAAGTTAATATTTTTTATTGATTTTCAATTAAAAGTGATATCGTTACAAAAGCAGGAGGAGGGGCTTATGAAATTCCACGGCTTGCAGAAAATCCAGTTTGCATAATTACATTTTTTTTGACTCACATGTGAATGAATTATAAACGACCGCAAGAATGATTAAAAACTGCGGATAGCATCTTCCGTGATTAGGCGGTATGAAAACATATTGAAACTGCATATCCTTGCGGCATGCAAGAAAAATTGGAAGACATATATTAATATCTCGTTTAGACCTAATGTGGTGTCCAATCCACCACTGAGTTTTTTTCGTAGAGTATCGGACGACAGAATCCAATGCTCCAAGGTTTTATTTGTATTCAATTCAGGGAATCAGATTTCCCTACACTGGGAATTCTAACTAGTGCTTGCTTCTAATAGCGGTAGATGTTCTCGAAATATTCTGGCAATACGAACTTATCTCAGACGGCAAGGTGATTTTCAAGAAAATGGACGACATTGTATGCGATGAGGACCCAATCTATTGCAGTTTACCTGCTGGTGGTAAGTTGTCTCCCAATAAGAGAGCTACGAAGAAAAAAAAGAAGAAAGAAAATGAGAAAAAAAGAAATGAAGATAAGAAAGAAAGGAAGAAAAAAATGAAAGAAAAAAACGGAAGAAAGGAAGGAAGAAAAAATAAAAAAAAGAGAGGACTAAGAGAGGATTAAGAGACACTTATTTCACTTTGAATTTTCTTAAGCATTTATAATTAAAGCTAATCATCTAATACCCTGCTTTGCAGATTAAATCAAAATTATGGGTTCTAGTTCATAAAATTCCAGCTTAAACCTTAGGAAGCTAATCATACTATTAGTTCCTGTTTTTCGTATATTTATCCCTGTGATTATAGTCATACATGTATTCCGAGATTGGCATAAATTCAAACAGTTTCTTTTTCCAAATAGTTTTTCAACCGACGGTGTTAAATACATCGAGACACGTTTTAGAATTAAGAACGACGATCTTTACAAATTGCTTTCTTGACCACCTCTAACAGGCAGCTTCGAATGAAAAATAAAACAAACAAAAAATAGCAATGAAAAATTCAGGCAATCCATCCTCATTGATTAATTTTCAATCCTATATATTGCTCTTAGTGCATTTTGTTTCCTATTTTGAATAACCGTTGCTGATTTCTTAGCTTTTTTTTTTGTCTTCTAGAAACCAAAGTGTGGGTTCAATCTGAACAGTTGCCGGCCATTCCTCCAGGTTTTAAGGTAATCGATCGATTAGCGTAGCCCAGTCAGCTTACGGGTTTCAGCGCTTGTGATTCCTATCTGATAGCCCCGGCTGCATTTAAGTCTTTCCTCCCTCTCTCGATTTGATCTTGCTTGTCAATCATAACGGTACAGTTTTCGTCCTTTCCTATATGATATTTATGGATCTGTCTCACAAGCGAATGTAACTACATTTTTCAACGAAACTGAAGCCGACTCTCTTGTGAGCACTCGTCCTATTATCTCAAATCAGCTTTTCCAAGGATATCAAATTCGTTAGCCACCATCCAGGCCAAAGGATTTTCCGATATTTTAGTTTTATCGACTGAGTTATAAATGAAAATTAGCCATTGTGAAGAGTTTCTAAAGAGTTAGCCCTTCGTTCTGACCTAGGGCTAGGGCTCCATTAAGGCCTATTTACACGGCACGACTTTGTCGCATGCGACAAGCTTACGACAGGCCTACGACATGACTTAAGAGTCGTAAGCGAGTTGTAGGTTTGATTTACACGAAACAATTCGTGTCGTAAGCCTGTCGTAAGCTTGTCGCATGCGACAAAGTCGTACCGTGTAAATAGGCCCTTAAAATGATTTCCAGTCGAGAATTTTGTCATCTTTGTACGCTCATCTTAATGTTGTCTGGCACCTGTGAGCTTTAGCGTCAGCAGCCATTCTTCCTTATCTTCATTACCATTTCATCGACTGCGCACTTTTTGAAAAGGAATCATTACGAATCATGATGTTGATCATTATCATTATGATTATGACGATTATTATCAAGCCGTGCATAGTTTTATCAGTTCATTCCAAGAAACAAGAGAGGGCCCTAAATCAATGCATGAGTTTACATTCTACTATAATTTATTTATTCTATTTCATTTTGTTCTTCAATCAATTAGAATCGAATCTACAAGGCGAAATTTCAACTTTTTAATGAAGAGAATATCATGTTTCTCTGTGGTGAGATTGTAGCCAAAGTGAGGTAAGAGACGAACAGGACAAGCGGGAGCCAAGACTCAAGGGAAGTATGAAGGAAAAAATAGGCATGAAAAGACATGCAAAGAGTGGTCTTGCAACCAATGATTCTGTAAACAAAGTTTTAAAATCTAACAAAAATAATTAAAGATAACTCTAGTAACTTTGAATAAATACATAGATTACGTTTTTGTGGCGAGGGAATCAGCTCATTTGTGAAATAGCCTGATATTTAAAACCGACGTAGAGAACGGGGAACAATAAGAGGACGGATCAGTTAGCATGAAAAACTATATACTGCAGCAAGAATTACTTAGATTTTAATGAGAACGATTGTGCAAGGGAGCAAGCGGAGCAGGTGAGAGCCTTTGAACTCTTCCCTACACACAGCGCTTCCATGAAACTCATTAGTTAAAACAAAGAGTTTGGTAAAAATGAGATAGGACTGATCTGTTTGTTTTAGTAATCTGTTCTTGTGAGTCGCTTGGTGTATTCAAGACCAGGCCATTGTTCAAAAAACTTCTTGAAATATCAATTATGACAGCGCAGTTCATTGCATACGAGCAAAACTCATAACCAAAGGATGCCTATTGTCGCTCTCTATGGTTTTAATTATCTAGCGCATTTTTTTTTTTCGCTCAATAAATAAATACTTTTGGGGTTCACCGTGTTTCAAAGCAATAAAATGAACATTTCATGGCAAAAGTATTATCTGGTTTGCGGTATTTTGCCTTTCATTGCTGGTAATGTGAGGGGGCCACAATAGTCTTCACCATTAGCTGTAAAACAGCCAAAAAATATTATAGCCGAAAGTCGTTAAAAAGTTAACTGCAGAAATGGTTCTTTAATCACAAAGGACGGTAATCAACTGTTGGCCGTAAAATGGTCTACAATTTGACATTTAACCGTAAAATCCATCACCCCATTGAGACCTTCATGTCAAAACAGAATGCTGTGCGCTTTTGAAGTGCCTATGACACGAAGTTCTTTCGCGTAAATATTTAGCTCATCATACGTACAAACCAATTTCGACTGAAGAAAAATCTCAAAAAACGTGAACGGTCTTTACGGACCCTAAAGTGCTCTTATCTAGTCTTAAAAGTGTCCCGTAGACTGGTAACGAATTAGCGGCTGATGACGTTGAAAACTGTGAAAACTCTCTGTTGACACTTGCAAATCTTCCGCATCTCTTGCAATTTTGTATCAGACAGCGTTGAAATGCTCTTGAAATAATGTACGATAGCAATACATACCTATCTTCAGCAAGCTCCACCGAGCTTGGATTCACTACCATCTAATTCAATAAAATTTATCTTTCTTTATTTATCTCGTTGTAGTGCTGTTATCACAATGACATTGCTACTGTGGCTACTTTTAGTTTCTTGAGGACAGGGGGGATTTAATGGGTCGTGGGAAGGAGAGGGAAAGAACGACTCCATCTTTGTAAATGTTCCATTCGTGGTCCTTAACGCCTCTGTATTGTTGCTTGCCATAGGTAAGTCAACATGCTGCTCTGTTTTATTCAATATGCATTTAAGTCATTTGCCAAAAAAATCAAGGAAAGTTACCGTGGATGATGGTGGTTTTGTTAATCCCAAGTTCTTTCGTTTTCCACGCAATGAAAGTATTATGATAAAATCATTAAAGGGTAACTGACGCCTAATTCTATCCCCTCCCCCCGCGCCATTTTTTTTTTGTCCCAGTACATTCCTCTTAGGTTAAAGAATCCTGAATGAGCAAATAAACGATATAAATAAACAGTTGTAAAAAATATTTTCCCATCTTTTTTTCTTCCCAACCATTATCGAGTCTTATACTCAAAGAAATATTTTTTATTCCATGCCGAAAGTATTTGACTTTAGATTTTGTCCAGTGTGTATCACTGGGACCTCAGGCCCATCGGTTCTGGAGTGAACATGACTAAGCGCAAGGTGTTGCCGCTTATTACAGGAGGTCGTAATCCGGTTTCGTGAACGAAACTCTTCTTTCACGTTCCGGAAATGAACAAGAATTATCCTTTTTTCATTTTTTTTTAAAGGAGACTAGTGAGCAGCAGGAAGGAAGACTTCTTGCTGTTGTAACCTTTTTGTTTATTTTTTTGGACGCATTTTGTCTCTAGCTGAGAGTTTTCCAGGAATGATTACAACTAACATTGAGCAGCATGTATAGCACATTCGTGTGCCTAAGTTTGATTAACTTCCAGTGGTAGTGTATAATAACAGAATCATGTCGTAACGCCTTGTTATGAGCGCCACACTCAAGCGTCGTTTCTCATTTGCGACCGGAAACATGATGAAATCAGTCCTGTTCGAAAGGTTACTCGTTTCAAAAATGTACCACTGTCAGCTGAATGAACAGTAAATTACTCACACTCGTTTATCGTAAACAAACCGACAGCCTGAGATAGGAAACCAATAAGCACATGTCATGAGACTGTACCACTCTTAGCCGCGTTGACATTGATAATATGGACGGAAAACAACAGGATGTAAAACAAAGAAAACGAAAACCAGAGAAGCGCTGTGTACATAATGATGTTTTGTAACCTAAAAAAAAAAAAAAAGAGAGAGAGAGAGAGAGAGAGAGAGAGAGAGAGTCAGCCCTTACTAGTTTCCTTAAACCCTGAATGCTGGACAATACATCTGGCTTCTGGCTGCAACTGTTCCACTGTACCATCCTCTATATACATAGACATATATATATATTCCATGCAGAGGGAGTTTTAGAGGGTGTTTTCTTTCTCCCTTCACATTGATCGGCAGTTTCCAGACTGACACCTTGTAATAAAAAAATCAGTAAAGTAGATTTTTTTTCACGATGTTGAACAGAAAAAATAGGTAGCACAACATGTATGATTAGTTTCACCAAAAGGAACAGTTGTCAGCTCTGTGACCTTCACCTTTGGCAAACGTGGGAGATAACAAACTTTAGGCTATATATGAAACAAGGTGCAAAGACCACAAGTAAACAATAAGTTAATATTAAGAGGATTTCAATACTACATTTACGAATGTTATCTTTTGTTGCTTGGGGTTTAAAGTAAAAGCCGAGAAATCTTTAGTCGTTCGCCAAATTCAACAAAGAAAAAATTAAAACCGATTCAATCGCGTGGAAACTTGTATAATCCATCCAATTCAACTCCACAAACGTGCATGTTTATATTTTCATTCAGGAAAACCCTAGCTTCAGCTTCGCTCCCATGGTATTCAAGAGTCTACACATTTGGTTTTCATTACTTGCTCGCTCTTACATTTAATGAGCGACTGATTTTCAAAGACTTTATTTGAAAGCGTAAATACGTTCACCATTCTCGCTTTCTTGATTGAGGCGGCCGCGGCGCAGAGGCTCGTGATCCTCTTCTGACTCTCGCGCTCTATTTTAGGTTCGTCCTAGCTGTTCAAATCGCAAGAGCCTGATTTTAACAACAGGTTCATGAACCCTTTCATTCTACGTGTGAAGTCAGTTTTGAAGTACGTTACCTTCAACCCGATCCAATGTTCCAGCTTCCTTCGCCAAGGAATGATTACAAGAACGGGAACATCCGATGAACTTTCACGCTTCATTGAAGATAGCAACTGAAGAACTTCACCGAAATATTTGTCTTTAAAATCTTTTTCTATGCCTCGTGAAAGATCTCGCTTTGGATAGCTTAAACAATTAGAGCTTTTGTTGAAATCTCTCTGGCTATTATTAGACTTTTAAACACAATGCGAAATGTTTTTGATTCTTTAATTCAAATTGAGGTAGTAAACGTTGTAAATCATATTAAGTTTGTTTTCAGTTAAAACACTAAATATTTTTTGCTTAATTAAAAAGTAGGATCCCTCGCACCTTCGAGTATATTAGAGTTTGACACATATATATTTAAGCAATAAAGAACTCTTTCTATCAGTTTGCTGGCGTAATGGCTACTGAAGAAATTGTTCAGTTTGAATGTTTTGTATAAATTCCTAATAAACCTTTATTCTTTTGAAGCATGGAAAACCACAAATGGCGTAGCACGTTAAGGAGGCTCCATAGGGTCGTTGACTTCTTTCACAAAACTCTTCATTTCGATATTTTATGACTCTGACGTGACTAAATTTGTTAATAGCCGCAAATAGTCTCTAGGTCTAGTTAAATATTTCGCTTTAAAGTAGCTTACGTGGTGGCAGAGTTTTAAGGTTACAGATCCAGACATGATCTTCCTCTCTTTTTATTGAGGAATTGGTCTAGTGAACTTTTCCAGTCCATTGCCTAGTTGGCTGATAAACCCAGTGGAAGGTAAATATTTTGCCGCTTTTACAACGAGCTAGATTTTCCCCTTTTGTCTTTACGTCGTCAGCAGTAAAGAAATGGGTTTAGGGATGAATTGAGGAATGCCACAGTCTCGTATAATAGATGACGATACAACGCATCTCTTTCAATCACCAATGTCAGCCAGGGAGGTCGCCTTGACTAACGAATTACAAAACACATGGGCGTCTCGCGTGTTTTTAGCGTTTGCAGCTGTTGCGTGGAACAGCTTTCATTGTAACGTGCGTGAATCTCCATGTTGACTTTATTTTGCGCGTGTGAATTTGTCGTTCGTGAAATGACTTTTTTAACGAATCGGCCATAATAACCACGCAGTTTTCATTAACTGCACAGAGACATCGTGGAATCACGATATATAGTGAACGCTGAACTTCATAGGAATTATTCAAGAAACTTTTTGGTGGATGGATAAAGCCCACATTCTCTCTTTTCCTTTCCAACCAGCACACACCACCGAGTCTCAAGTAAGCTATGCCATGCAACAAATTTAAAATCACTGAAAAGCTCAATGATCTAAAACGATTTGAAAAGCGCATTTATTTTATCAGCAACAAACGGTCGTATGCAGCGAATATGGATAATATTTTGTCACGAAAAGTCTCTTATTTCCTTTGAAACTCAGGACGTGGTGAACTCTAAAAGAATTATCTATTGAGCAGAAAAAAAAAAAAAAAAAAAAAAAAAGCAGCGAAAGTTTAGATAAACAAAACCAAAGACAGCATAGATAGATAGATTTTTGGTTTGAGATTTGCTTTTGTGCAATAAACTTCTCAATGGCTTGGTAGTGAATACGCTATGCAACTCAATAGATCAAATAACTCAAACACACAGATCAGTCCTTTCGTATTTCTATTTACATCTCTGTTGCACTGTCGAACTTTCAAGGGAGCACCGTGTATAGGGAGAGGTTCAGTTCCAGTGTGCTTAGCTAGCTCTCTTGGAAAATCTTGCTTATTCAAATCTATGTAATTTCTGCTACAGTTTACTATTTTTCGCGCGAATTGATCCCCTCTCTTTATTGTTACCTGTTTTTGCTGCGTTGTTTTTTCATTCATGAGTTGATTCCCTCACCTTAAAAATTTAATCTGTGAGTTTACTCAAACTACAGAGCGGAGTTATCTTTAATGATTGTCGTTAGATTTTGAAACCTTATTTTACAATATCAGCGATTGCAAGACGACTTTTTTAATGTCTTCCCCTGCTTAAGCGAATTACTTTCCCCATTACTTCTTTTCTTTCACTTGAGTCTTGACTCGTGTTCGTCTTCTAGCGTACCTTTCCAACAACTTCACCACAGAGAAACATTATGTTCTTTTCATTGAAAAGTTCAACTCTTCCCTTATAG